CGGTCCCGTGAGACTTCCACAGAAACGGATGTACCGACAACGCGCTCACTGCAATCCCTGGTCAGATCATAGCTTTGACTACCCAGTCAAACCAGAGGCCTTTGACTGGAGCAGCCTTTACGGTGGCGATTCTGACCGTCCCGCCAGTATTGTCGATATAGGCTGCGGTTATGGTGGTCTTCTGTTCCATCTAGCCACAACTTTTCCAAAATCGCGTTCTTTGGGCATGGAGATTCGACTCAAGGTTGTAGACTATGTCCAGGTAGGTGAGGCAATCGCTCTGTCAGTTTGGAGCTCAGTGTCCGCGGCTAATTCTGTTTGTACAACTAATTCTCTGCGGTTTTTCTTGATAAACACCACAAGCAACAACAATGTCTGGCCAATGTTAAATTCCCTGCTGACCAAAAAAAGTATTTGAGTCATACAGTGGATGTACAATCTCATGAAATGTTAATCGAAATTCTGAAATTTGCTTGCGATCAGACAAAATTCTTAAGTAGATTTGAAATATTAGTTATTGTACAGCATAGTGTCAAGGTAGTTCACTGACACCAGGATGTCGACTTATGAACAAACTTTTCTCCGGCAGGCTGCAAAACTACACTCTGTATAAAATGACTACTTAAGACCTATGCATTGCCCTTATAAATTCAAATATTTTATGGAAGACATCAATAAAAATATTATTACTTGTGCTAATTTGATAGTAATACACGCTTCCTTCCCATTTTACATACTTGACAAAAGGGATCTCTCGGTTTTAAGCAACTTTTTAACGTCCTCAGTGATTTTGAACCCAACCTGCTTTTATACTTACATTCAGGGTTTCCAGACTCCAGGCGGTATATTTTCCGTGGAAGAAAAATCTCACGTTTATATACGTTATTTAGAACAAACAGTATAAGCCCTGGAAAATTTTGCAGTTACTGCGTGTCATATAATACACTATATAGGCAGTATTAATAAGTGGAAAGAAAGAATGCCTTATGAATTGGCGTTTTGTGGTCTTGAAAGACCTCATCCTTAGAAATCAAAAGATGCACATTTTACGTATAAAATGTGAAGAAGACTTAAATTAGTACCAGGGGGAATATTTTTATGCATGTTTCCCTCAGCTATATTTGAATTTACAAGGCCGTTGGAAACAAATGCCGAAAACACATATTACTTAAGTAGTTTGTAAATTGCAAGAACAGCGGGATTGATTGGATCCGTAAATTTCAGGAGCGCTCATCAGCTGCTACCTCTCATTGCATAATATGAATTTATAACTCACCTTTTCATAGACTAGCCCAATGACTCGTAAAAGAGTTAGAGCCAATTCGCAAGAGACTTTCTACTTATACATTAAAAGACAGTTTTCGCTTTATCGACGGAATTAGACACCATAATATTTAAGACAAATGCATGATATCCTTGGATGTTGAATCATTATTCACCAACGTACCCCTGGATGAAACCATAGGCATCATTTGTTCTTATTCCTCTGACACTCGCTTGTCCCCTCAAATACTACGGGACTTATTACAACTGTGTACAAAGGATGTCCAATTTTTGTTCAATGGCCAACTATATCGACAAATTGACGGGGTCGCAATGGGAAGCCCACTTGGACTAACCTTTGCTGACCTTTTAAGGACCATTTAGAAGGACAAGATAATACTCTACAGGCGATATGTTGGTGATGTTTTCGCGATTGTCGACAACCTAAAAGAAGCTGAAGAATTATTGTCCGACATGAGCAATTTGCATCCTAAGATTAAATTTACTATAGAACATGAACGAGAGAACCAGCTCTCCTTCCTTAACGTTCACTTGTTCAGACAGGATGATGGTTCCATCACACGAACGGTCTTCCATAGGACTACCTGGAAAGGTCAGTACTTGCATTATCTAAGTTTTGTTCCCATCCAATGGAAACGCAAC